TCCACAGGTCCTCCTGGTCATTCCCGGTACTATGTCCCGCAGTCTCTGGTCATCTCCTGTACTATGTCCGCAGTCTCTGGTCATCTCCTGTACTATGTCCGCAGTCTCTGTCATCCTCTGTACGGTGTCCGCAGCTCTCCTGGTCATTCCTGTACTGTTGTCCGCAGTCTCTGGTCATCCTTCTGTACTTATGTCCATCTGCAGTCTCTGGTCATCTCTGTTACTATGTCCGCAGTCTCTGGATCATTCCCTGTACTATGTCCGCAGTCTCTGGTCATCTCCTTGTACTGTGGTCCGCAGGTCTCTGGTCATCATCCTGTAATATGTACCGCAGTCTATGGTCATCTTCTGTACTGTCCGCCAGTCTCTGGGGCATCTCCTGTACTGTTGTCCGCAGTCTCTGGTCATCTCCTTGTACTGTGTCCGCAGTCTCTAGTTCATCTACCCTGTACTAAATGTCCGCAGTCTCTGGTCATTCCCGTACTATGTCCGCAGTCTCTGGTCATCTCTCCTGTACTTATGTCCGCAGTCAACTGGTCATCTTCTGTACTAATGTCCTCGCCAAGGCTTCTGGTTCACTCTCTGTACTATGTCCACATCTCTGGTCATCCTCTGTATGTGTCGTCCGCAGTCTCTGGTCTTCTCCTGTACTATGTCCTGCAGTCTCTGGTCATACCTCCTGTACTATATGTCCGCAGTCTCTGGTCATCTGGTACTATGTCCGTCCTCTCTGTCATCTGCCTGTACTATGTCCGCAGTCTCTGGTCATCTCCTGTACTTGTTGCAGTCTCTGGTCATTTCCTGTACTATGTCCCGCAGTCTCTGGTCATCCCCTGTACTGTCCGCAGTCCTCTGGTCATTTCCTGTACTATTCCACAGTCTCTGGTCAACTCCTGTACTATGTCTGCAAATCCATATGGTTCAGAAATCTTTTTTTTCTTTTTTTCTCCCTCTAAAACCTAGGCGCGTCTTATGGGTACAGAGAGTGCGTCTTATGGAGCGTAAAAAATTTACGATACATGGGGAATTTTATTAAAAGCAGAGTTTCGTTTCACTTTAAGTATATTTTTTGCCCAGAGGTTGGAGCTATACTTTGTTTTCTCCATGTTTGCTGATAGATTTGTATTTTGGAGCACTGGCTGTGAAGCGTATTTTTTTGTAATCTATAAAAGGTTTCAGAGCTTCACAACGAACATACTTAAGATCTTTCATTAATAAAGCATAAAGCCGTTGAGATAAAAGCACGGAGGTGAAATAAAAACATCCCACTGTTGTAACAAGAGGCTCGTTCTCAGTGATCAAGAACCCGCTCTTTGAAATGTACCATATAATTATTGCACTGCAGTATATAAACATGCCCTGACAAAATAACTCATTAGGCCTTTTGAAAAACACAAATCCCACAGAAGGCTGAAATGTTTTTTTTATTGTCATAATATCGCTAATTATATTCTTATTATTTATGTGTTCTGTTATATTTCATTTACGTATTTTAAGTACAATAGGTCTGCTGAAACCTGGCTTTGAAGAATCTTTTATTTTTCCCGAGCCTGGAAACATAGCGACACCTTCATAATTAGCTGAGTCAAAGCACGCCTTTCCCCCACAAGATGTCCCCTAGGCAGGATAAGCAGCAATGTTATCGATATGTACATTTTTGACTTTAATCAAAGTCCTCATCCACTCCTCCTGGCCACCTACCTTGCTGCATAAATGAGTGACTAGTGACTGTCACAGCAAAGGCAAAGTGTATGTAATTGACGGCGTTGGCCTGCCTTGTCTGTACAGTGTAAGATGATAGATCCCTGGTGTGCAACCTGCAGAACGGGGGCTGCATGTGGCCCTTTTGTATATTTTGTGTGGCCTTAGGGCCCCTGCAGACACTAATCTGTGTTTCCCTTTTGCCTTGTTATAGTAGTGATTTTTAGCAGCTTTTTTTATAATATGTCTTCAGTCTGTGACTGTCCTGGAGCATGTCCCTAGTCTCCAACAACCCCTATAGCATGTTCACAGTCTCTGACATTCTCCCTATAAGAATATCTGCAGTCTATGACCATCTTGTGTAACATATCCACAGTCTCTGACCATCTCTTATATCATGTCTGCATTCTCTGACCATCTCTTGTATCATGTCCACGGTCTCTGACCATCTCTTGTATCATGTCCACGGTCTCTGACCATCTTTTGTATCATGTCTCTAGTCTCCGACCATCTATTTTATCATGTCTGCAGTCTCTGACCATCTCTTATATCATGTCTGTAGTCTCTGACCATCTCTTCTATCATTTTCACAGTCTCTGACCTTCTCTTGTATTATGTCCCACGGTCTCTGACCATCTTTTGTATCATGTCTGTAGTCTCTGACCATCTCTTTTATCATGTCTGCAGTCTCTGACCATCTTTATTATCATGTCTGTAGTCTCTGGCCATTTCTTCTATCATTTTCACAGTCTCTGACCTTCTCTTGTATCATGTCCACGGTCTCTGACCATCTTTTGTATCATGTCTGTAGTCTCTGACCATCTCTTTTATCATGTCTGCAGTCTCTGACCATCTCTTTTATCATGTCTGCAGTATCTGACTATCTCTTATATCATGTCCGTAGTCTCTGACCATCTCTTCTATCATTTTCACAGTCTCTGAGTTTCTCTTGTATCATGTCCACGGTCTCTGACCATCTTTTGTATCATGTCCACGGTCTCTGACCATCTTTTGTGTCATATCTGCAGTCTCTGACCATTATATGTATCATGTCTCTGAGCACCTCTTGTATTATATTCACAGTCTGATCATCTTTTTTATAATGTCCATAGTCTCTGACCATCTCTAATATTATGTCCACAGTCGCTGACCATCTGTTGTGTCATGTCTGCAGTCTCTGACCATCTCTGACTCTCTGTTGTATCATGTACACAGTCTCTGACCATCTCTTGTATGATGTCCACAGTTTTTGAGCATCTCTTGTATCATGTCTGTAGTCTCTGACCATCTCTTGTAAGGTTATCAAGGGCTAGATAGCTTGTCTTCTTTTTCTACCCTCCCTTTTTTTTTGTGTATTTATATATCCAGTGGTGTCGTCCATTGTATATAATAATATCTGACCATCTCTTGTATCATATCCACAGTTTCTGACCATCTGTTGCATCATGTTCATAGTCTCTGACCATCTCTTGTATCATATCCACAGTCTCTAACCATCTGTTGCATTATGTTTGCAGTCTCTCTGATCATCTCTTGTATCATGTCTGCACTTTCTGACCATCTCTTGTATCATGTCCCCAGTCCCTGACCATCTCTTGTATCATATCCATAGTCTCTGACATGCTCCTGAAGCATGTCCACAATTTCTGACCTTTTCTTATATCCACAGTCTCTCACTATCGCTTATATCATGTCCGCAATCTCTGACCATCTCGTGTATCATGTCCACAGTCTCTGACCTTCTCTTGTATCATGTCCGGAGTCTTTGACCATCTCTTATATCATGTCTGCACTTTCTGACCATCTCTTGTATCATGTCCCCAGTCCCTGACCATCTCTTGTATCATATCCACAGTCTCTGACATGCTCCTGCAGCATGTCCACAATTTCTGACCTTTTCTTATATTATGTCCACAGTCTCTCACTATCTCTTATATCATGTCCGCAATCTCTGACCATCTCGTGTATCATGTCCACAGTCTCTGACCATCTCTTGTGTCATGTCCGGAGTCTTTTACCATCTCTTTATATCATGTCTGCAGTCTCTGGCCATATCTTGTATCATGTCTGCAGTCTCTGACCATCTCCTGTATCATATCCACAGTCTCTGACCATCTATTATATCATGTCCACAGTCTCTGACCATCTAATATATCATGTCCACAGTCTCTGACCATCTATTATATCATGTCCACAGTCTCTGACCATCTATTATATCATGTCCACAGTCTCTGACCAACTCTTGTATCATGTCTGCAGTCTCTGACCATCTCCTGTATCATATCCACAGTCTCTGACCAACTCTTGTATCACGTCTGCAGTCTTGGACCATCTCTAACCATCTCCGATATCATGTCTTTAGTCTTTTACTATATCCTGTTGTGTGTCTGCTGTCTCCAATAATACATATTCACAGAATTTTATGTGCATCCCTTTGATGATGTTGGGGTCCACACATGAGGCTCCCACATCAAGAAAATTGACCACCACTGTTCCAGATGATGGCACCCAAAATGAAGTAAGGGCAGATGGCTGTATGATGGCCCAGGTGACAAAGATGGCCATGCCCACATTGCCGTCACACACAATTATGAATGCACAATGGGAAATCTCCCGAGATCATTGCAGCAAGCAGAGCCCCATAGTGAAATCTCCGGCATTTTGGCATATTGCTTTGTAAGGGCTCTGGAACGCAGCCTCAAGATTGATGTTATTTTTCAGTATCCTTGGTTTCTGCTGAAAGGATGCTTAACCCAGTAATTGCTTATACTTAACACAAATATTATCCACAAACCACAGGATTGTTATTTTAATTCTTAACAGAGCGGCAGCTAAGTGAGAGGTATCTACATTCTCTCGGTGCAGCTAAAAGCCGCCCAGCACAAAAATAAAGCATCCAGGCTAAATTTAGGAACCTGATTACATCTGTCCTTATGCAGGGGGAATGCAAGAGGGGACTCGCTGGAATTCATATGCTGGATATTGACTAGACCGGGCTCAAGCTAGCCATAGACAGCTTGCAGAAAGCAAGCGATGTGCCCAATCTCAAAGCCATTTCTTTTCCCATGCTGTCAGCTGCCATGCATCTACTCAGTAGGATTTTCCAGCTATTTAGAGCTGCTTCCATTGAGAGGTCCTATATCCTTATGCAGGCCATAGACGGTGAGAATAACGGCCGATTTTTCTTTAAAAAAACGAAAAATCGGTCGTTCAAGCAGCCGACGTTACCAGCAATGGTAAAAAAAAAATCGGCCGATTTTCATCCCGTCTACAGCCGGCAAAAAGTGTCCCTGCAGAGAGCTCCGCTATTTCTTTGACAGTTCTTTGACATTTATAGTGGTTGCAACAATGTATCTATTTGTATCCATTTAGGATACAGATGTTTTTATTCGGAAACAAATAGATACATTGTTGCAACCGCTATAAATGTCAAAGAACTGTCAAAGAAATAGCGGAGCTCTCTGCAGGGACACTTTTTGCCGGACTGGAATTTCTTCTTCCTCTCTCTTCTTCTCTTCTTCTTCCTCTTCTTCCTCTTCTTCCTCTTCTTCTCTCTTCTTCTTCCTCTTCTTCCTCATCCTCATCCTCATCCTCTTCTTCATCCTCTTCTTCTTCTTCTTCTTCCTCTTCTTCATCATCCTCTTCCTCTTCTTTCTTTTTCTTCTTTTTGTCTTCCTCTTGCAGGTCACTGCTCATGCACAGATTTTTTTATCGGTAAAAAATCGGCCGATTTGCCCATCATTGCCGCGAAAATCGGCCGATCGGCAAAATCAGCCTATTTTTTTTCCAACTTTACCGATAAAAAAAATCTGCCAAAATACCGAAAAACGGACGAACAAATAGCCCACTAACGATCCGAAAATTGGCCGATTTTATTTTCGGCTGAAAAATCGGCCGATTTTCGACCCATCTATGGCCCCCATTAAAGCTGAACTCTGGGGATGGTCTGTATTATGTAGTAATAGTGGTCCTGCTTGGCACAATGTAAGTATACACATCTTATTCTAGAGGGGTCTGGGGAGGCTGTGTCTGATCACAGCTGATCACATGTAAACACGGAAATGCCGGTTATCGGCATTTCTCTCCTTCCGAGCTGTCAAACTGACAGCTCGAGAGGAGAGCCGGTAATCGGCTTTCCGTGGAGGGGGCATGTACACTGATCATCAGGGCACTGATGATCAGTGTGGCCCCAGAAGTGCCACCTGTCAGTGTCCATCAGTGCCAGCAGTCAGTGCTCATCAGTGCCACGTGCCAGTGCCCATCAGTGCCACATCAATGCCACATATCAGTGCATACCAGTGCACATCAATGCCACATATCAGTGCCCATCTGAGCTGCCTTTCAATGTCACCCATCAGTGCCAGTCAGTGCCGCCTAACAGTGCCAGTCAGTGCCGACTAACAGTGCCAGTCAGTGCTGCCTATCAGTGCCAGTCATTGCCGCCTATCAGTGCCATATATCAGTGTCATGTATCAGTGCTGCCTTTCAGTGCCCATCAGTGATGCCTGTCACTGCCCATCAGTGCAACATACCAGTGCCTCCTCATCAGTGCCCATCAGTGCCACCTATCAGTGTCCATCAGTGCCCATCACTGCAGCCTCATTAGCGCACATCAGTGAAGGAGAAAAATCACTTATTTACAAAATTGTATAACAAAAACTAAGAAAAAACTTTTTTTTTAAAAAATTTTCAGTGGTTTTTGGTTTGTTTAAGAAAAAATAAAAATCCCAGAGGTGATTAAATACCACCAAAAGAAAGCTCTATCTGTCTCAAAAAAATTATAAAAATTTCATATGGGTACAGTGTTGCATGACCGCGCAATTGTCATTCAAAGTGCAACAGTGCTGAAAGCTGGAAATTGCCCTGGGCAGGAAGGGGGTATAAGTGCCCTGTAGGCTAGTGGTTAAAGGATGAACTCCAAGGAGCAATGATCTGCAAGGCTGCATATCCACTCCAAAAACTAATTAGCATCCACATGGAAAGATGTCCAGACCGCCACTCAGAAGAAAAAAATCAAACCTCATGGTGCAATATGTACTAAAAACATCAATATTTAATAAAAAATGCACTTACAAAGAAAGGTGCCCAGACTGACACCAGTGTAAACAGCATATTAGATCAACCAAGTCTCGCAAACCCAGCCTGGCTCACACATGCGCCTTGCAGATCATTACTCCTTGGAGTTCATCCTTTAAAGTTTCAAATGTTGCTGGGACCATACAGACCATCGCTACTACAGTCATAGCTACGATCTTCTGGGGTCCTGCGCCAAGCAGATGTCCCATAGGGTCACTTGCTTAGCACTACCACCACTATTTTTTTCCAATGAATATGAGGCGCTCTCTGATTGGTTGAGGTAGAGATCATGATGTCATTGTCCCTCCTCTCCACCTTGTCCTGTATTCATTGAAAGAAAAAGGCATGAATGGCGGCAGTTACATAGTGAAACAGAAACAAAGCCTCCTGCGCTCTAGGACTCAAAACAAGGGTGGAAAGGTGAAAGGATTCCTAGACCAGGGGTGGACTGACAAATCATGGCCCCCCCGGGCAATAGGGGATCATGGGGCCCCTGTGTCCTTGCCCAAAAAAGCCTATGAAAAAGGTACCAGGGGCATCTCA